GTAATCCCAGCACTTTGGGAGGCTGAGGCAGGAGGACTGCTTGAGCCCAGGAGTTTGAGACCAGCCTGGGCAACATAGTGAGACCCCATCTCTGCAAATACAAAAAATGAGTCAGGCATCAGGCATGGTGGTGCATGCCTGTAGTCCCAGCTACTTGGGAGGCTGGGCTGGGAGAATTGCTTGAGTACAGGAAGTCGAAGCAGCAGTGAGCTGGGGTCACGCCATTGTACCCCAGCCTGGGTGAGAGGGAGACCCTGTCTCAAAAAAAAAAAAAAGAGAAGAAAGAAAGAAAGAGAGAGAGAGAAAGGAAGGAAGGGAGGGAGGGAGGGAGGGAGGGAGGGAAGGAGGAAGAAAGGAAGGCAGGAAGGAAGGAAGGGAGGGAGGGAGGGAGGGAGGAAGGAAGGAAGGGAGAAAGAAAAGCCTCCATTTGGTGTTGGGAGTCCTATGTTGAGCCTGCTTCTGACTGTGATTTGCTGTGTGAACCTGGGCAAGACTGTGTCTTCTCTGGGCCTCTGTTTCTTCTATTGGGGTGACTGAGTTGGAGCCAACATCTCAAAAGTCGCTTCCAGCCTGATGATGAATGGGCTTCCTGCGGAGGGGCAGCATGGTGGGGAAGAGTCAGGGCTCTGGAGTCCCACTGCCCGGGCTCAGAGCTTGGTTCCACACTTCCTGTCTGACCTTAGTCACATGACTCGACTCTCCTGAGCTTCAGTCCCTCATTGTAAAATGGGTGGGATAATCGTTGTGAAATTAGATAAAGTAAACAAGTCACTTCATATACTACCTGATACATGGTAACTGGCTAATGAGTGACAGCCACCACTTAGATAAGGACTTGGGGGGTAAAAGACCAGGTTTCCCCATGCTGTTGAAGCAGGTGGCCTGACTGGGATGGTTCAAGCTCCACAGCGTGGTCAAGGCAGGGCCTGCCGGGGCCCTCTCCCTAGGGCGCCCATGACCTGGCTCTCCCCCTTCTAGGAGGCTGTGAAGAGCGGCATTCACCGTACTGTCCACGCTGGGGAGGTGGGCTCGGCCGAAGTAGTAAAAGAGGTGAGGGCCTGGGCTGGCCATGGGGTCCCTCCTTCCTGCCTCCTCCCGTACTTGGCTCCATTGTGCTTCTCTACAGGCTGTGGATATACTCAAGACAGAGCGGCTGGGACACGGCTACCACACCCTGGAAGACCAGGCCCTTTATGACAGGCTGCGGCAGGAAAACATGCACTTCGAGGTGAGCGGGCCAGGGAGTTGGGAGGAACCATCCCCGGCTGTCCCCACTTCCTGTATAGAGAGGCAGAAAGCAGGGCAGGTCCCAGGAACTCGAGGGGTGGCCCCAGGCCCAGACACGGGGGAGGGATCAGCATGGCCTGGGGCCATCCCTGCCAGCCACACACCTGCTCTTCCAGATCTGCCCCTGGTCCAGCTACCTCACTGGTGCCTGGAAGCCGGACACGGAGCATGCAGTCGTTCGGTGAGCTCTGTTCCCCTGGGCCTGTTCAATTTTGTTCCAGGAAGGCCAAAGAGGGAAGAAACTGCAGGGACTGGGCATCAGCCCACGCCGGATCTCTTAGATATGAAATCTCTTTGACGCCCTGGGAAGTAGGCATTGCTGTCCTCATCTGACAAATGAGGAATCCGAGGCCCAGATGTGCTGTGGCTTGGCTGGGACTACCCAGCTGCTAACCAGCAGAGCTGGGGCCCTACAGCTCATTCAGCTGGAGCAGAATGCTCCGATACTCTGAGGGAAGCTTCCATACCTTCCAATCCTCCCAACTCTGCCTCCTGGGCATCGCGTAGGAAGCAGGAGTCCCTCTGGCCAGCATGTTCTCTGTTCCTGGCACCTGGCCCTTGGGACCCCTGGGCAGTCCCCTGAGAGCCAGCTTGAAGCTTTCCACTGGAGGGTCTGTTCCACCCTACCTGGCTCCCATCCTGGAGTCTAACCAGGGCCAAGATCCTTCTTCCGTCCTGTTGCCAAGCCCTTGGAGCAATATCAGGCCTTAGGAAAAAGCTGCCTTCCCCAGGACAAGGACAGCAAGAACTCAGGGTGACCATGGTCAGGCCAGCACTTATCCATCTGCCAGGCATATGAGAAGAGGAGGGGCTAGGGCTCTGATGTTCTGATGACAAGGGAGTCTTGAGGCTTGCCTTAGGGACATGTGGCACCTGTGGTGGTTCTTGGAGGCACGTGGGTATACGTGATCCAGGAGTCATCTGCACAGATATGGTGGCTGAAGGAGAAGCAGTGGCCCCAGGAGGTGGTGGAGCAAGAGGGCCTAGGATAGAACCCAGTGGGACAACGGTATTTAAGGGACCAGCAAAAGAGACAAGTAGGAGGAAAGTCAAAAGTGTGGTGTCAGAGAAATCCAGGGAAAAGGTTTGAACAAACAGCCAACAGTGTGAAATTCTGCTATACAAGTCAATTATGGTCGGAGCTAGGAAAGATCCATTAGATACAACAAGATGGTGGTCAGGGATCGTGCTAAGAACAGCTTTCATGGTATGTTGGAATAGCCAGCTCCCAGTGGGACTGAGGAACAAGCAGGGTAGGGTGCAGAGGGGAAGGCTAGAGAGGGTGGCAGCTGGAGGGGGATGTTGCTTTCTTGGCTTCCACCCCCCGCCCCCCACCGGCTGCCACTCTGCCTGGTTCTCATGTCTGGCCTCTCTGCTGCCTTTGCCCAGCTCTGGTCTGCAGGATGGGTTGGAGTCTGGAGTTTCTGGTTACCTAGACTTGAGCAAGTCACCTCAATTCTGAATTTATTTCCCCCTCTGCACAAGGATCAGATCTTTCAGATCTGTTTGAGGCTGCTTTGAGGATCAAAAGCGGGTGAATGTCAATGTGTTCTATTTACGTACGAGTAAAAGGAGGCTCGTTCTCTCCTCCTCCCCCTGCAGGCTCAAAAATGACCAGGCTAACTACTCACTCAACACAGATGACCCGCTCATCTTCAAGTCCACCCTGGACACTGATTACCAGATGACCAAACGGGACATGGGCTTTACTGAAGAGGAGTTTAAGAGGCTGGTGAGTGGGTGTGAGCCATACTGGCCTTGACTCGGGTTTGGGAGTATGATATCTACAGGTCCGGTCTGGGGCCTCGAACCTTTGGAGAGAGGGAGCGAGTTTGCCTCAACAGTCCAACACAAGCCCAACCTAGACACTTTCCACAGAGAAGGCTCTTTGTGTTGACGACCTGACCTAGGACCAGGTTTTTGATCCTTTGCTTGGGTTGAGTGCCTTTAAAGAATGCAGTGAAAGCTATCAGCCCTCTCCCCAGAAAGGTGTGTGCAGCTATGAAGTCTCGTGCGCTCTCTTCAGGTTGTTCTTAAATCCCAAGCTGAGTAAGTCCGTTCCTGCAGGTGTCTGCGGGGTGTCTCTGGCCCCCTACATGCTACCCTGTCTCTCAAAGTTTTCTCCAACTTCCTTCTCACAGCCCTTTATCATGTAATGACACATTAAGAACACAAGCTCATGGTCTCTGCTCTGGCACTTGCTGCCGTGTGACAGTGGACAAACAGTGGACAAATCCCTCCCCCTCTAAGTGTATCTGCCCATGTTCAGTGAAAAGGATGGACTATCACTACATTGCTAAGAGCTGCCTTCTTTGTTCCCTGGTTCCATGTCGTCTGCCATTCTGGCCTTTCCAGAACATCAATGCGGCCAAATCTAGTTTCCTCCCGGAAGATGAGAAGAGGGAGCTTCTCGACCTGCTCTATAAAGCCTATGGGATGCCACCTTCGGCCTCTGCAGGTAGGTTCCTGTCTCGGTTTCTGGGCGGTTGCCCCGTCCTGGCTCCAGCCTGGCTTTCTGCGGGACTTCTAGCAAGATGCCCTTCCATTCTTGGGCAGCACCAAGAATGTGTGATGACTCCCTGGTTCCTGGGCCCTGGCTGGGAGCAGCGTCTCATTAGGTTGGCTTGTTTTCTACATAACTTCTTGAGAGGCTGTTCTAAGGGGAGACTTTCTGAAGTCCAGTCCCAAAGGTCTGGGCAGTTTGGGACATCTCCATGGCTGCCCAAAGCCAAGGGCAGGGAGTGAGGCCCAGGCCTGTTCTGCTCCTTTCTATGTGGTCTTGGCAAGGCATCTTCTTGACATCATAGGAAGGAGTTCCTTTCTGGTTCTGGTGTTCTATGATTTTTACAACATCCTGGGTACTACAAGTTGCCTGATCTTTCTGCTTCTCTGAACCAACGAGCAGGGCAGCACCTCTGAGGACACCACCCCTCCAAGCCTTTGCCCTGTGGAGTCACCCCAATTCTGTGGCGCTGAGCAACATTTTTACATTTATTCCTTCCAAGAAGACCATGATCTCAATCGTCAGTTACTGATGCTTCTGAAGCCTGTGTCCATTTCTGCACACACGTATACCTCGGCATGGCCGTATCACTTCTCTGATTATGTGTCCTGGTCAGGGACCAGCGCCCTTGCACATGGGCATGGTTGAATCTGAAACCCTCCTTCTGTGGCAACTTGTACTGAAAATGTGGTGCTCAATAAAGAAGCCTATGGCTGGTGGCATGCAGCAGGTGGCATGTAATTGGGTGGTCTTGGGCGGGCCGATATGGTCAGGGTGAGCATGGAGGGAGCCGGGTCAGCCTGCTCAGCAGCAGGGCCTGAGTCCAGGGGCGGCTGTGAATGCTAGGCCAGAGATCCCAATGCTATGGGCCAAGAGGGGTCCAGAGACTGTCCTCCTTCCAGAAGAAATAAGGCTTCTCTGGTTGTCTGCTCAAACATTCCCTGAACTCTCAGCCCCCTCCTAATTCTAGGTTTTAAGGAGTAAACCTTCCTTTTGGGTTCCTGAAGCTGGTGGCTGGAGTGAGAGCGGATGAGATGGAAGACGGCTCATCAGACACTGGCCTTGGAGGGTGCTGGCCTCTGCGGAATGCCAGCATCTTCTCAGAACCATATGCTCTGGGAGCCTGGGGCAAGTCTGGCTAATTGTGGACTTGGGGAAAATAAGGCCCAACCCGTTTTTGCTGCGTTAAGGAGAAATAATCTTAAGCCAGTCACACAAATCATCAGCATTTATTTCCTGGGTCCTAGGTGTCACTTATCCTGGTGGAAAGGGTAGAGGTGGTCAGATCATTTTGAGCCAAAATCCCTTCCCTAAAAATGGATCTGTGGAGCTCCATGAGGGAACCTCAGAGTGCACAATGAGAGTTTAGCTAAAATGGCTTAAAAAATGTGAATTGATTGTCAGCTCTCTCCGTCTCTGCTGAAAAAACGTTTAAAATTTTTAAAAAGTTTAAAAGTGTTTTCTAAAAAAGGGACACGCAGGTCTTGACCCGGAAGATTGGGCTGGAGAGGAGGTGTTGGTGTTGGGACAGGGATCCTGCTCGGGCTGCTCGCAAGAGGAGCGTTCCTGCGTGGGCTGCTCACTGTAGGGCAGGGCCCCGCCCAAGTGCCGGCGCCAGCTCAATAAATAACATCTTGTGGTTACAGTGTCTTGAAAGTGTACCTGGGCACGGTGAGAAGGTGGTGGGAATGTGGAGCCTGTGGGTGTGGGCAGAGGGCTTTCCCGGAGTGGAGGCCACAGAGGCCTCTGGGGAGCCTTCTCAGTCTGGCCTGGTTTATCTGGGACATGGGGCTCAGAGAAGAGGCTGCTGGGCCAGTGCCAGGGTTCCCCCTCTGGGAGGGGACAGAAGGTCTCTCGTCCAGCCTTCTTGGACAAGGTCAGACTCAAGATGAGGTGGTCCCATCGCTGCTCTGGGGCTGGTTGCCAGCTTCCTTGTCTGGGGCGCTTCCCTCCACCTGTCCTTCTGGAGAGGAGAGAAAGAGGTTTTTCTTGGGCACATATACACAAAGCAAAGCACAGAAGGAGGTGTGAAAGAGCCCAGCCAAACTGATAGCAGTGGGTATGCCCTGGGGAGCAAGACAAACTGGACTGAGGTGGTGGTGGCCAATGGGACTTCAGCCTGCTCTGTAATATCTTTTTACATGGAAATGCACATGGTGTTAGTATAATTAAGAGTCAATTAAGGGCCACTATGGATGGGTGCTTAAAGCATCAAGTGAAGGGCTCTTGAAGGTCGTTTTATTTGTGCAGGTTCCCCAGAGGGAGAGGCCAGATGTTAAGTCCCCAGTGTGTCACAGGTGCTCAGCAAACGGCAGCTGTATTTTTTTTTTTTGGCGGGGGGATGGAGTCTTGTTCTGTCGCCCAGGCTGGAGTGCAATGGCACAATCTCGGCTCACTGCAACCCCCGCCTCCCAGGTTCAAACAGTTTTCCTGCCTCAGCCTCCCAAGTAGCTGGGATTACAGGCGCCCACCACCATGTCCGGCTAATTTTTGTATTTTTAGTAGAGACAGGGTTTCACCATGTTGGCCAGGCTGGTCTCAAACTCCTGACCTCAGGGGATCCGCCTGCCTCGGCCTCCCAAAGTGCTGGGATTATAGGTGTGAGCCACCATGCCCGGCCAATGTTCTTCTAAGACAGTAAAAAGCACTGCACCAGGCCAGCTCAGGCAGTGCCAGGGTGCGGCCTGCATCAGGGCCTGTGGGCGCCAACTGCAGCATGGGGTGTGTGTGGTGCCTCCTCCTCAACTCCATCCTGCCAGACATCTCGGTGGGGTGAAGGGCAGCAGCAGGCTCACAGAGATGGAGCACCTCACCCAGGGAGTCAGGATACAAGCCAGGTCTCCTCCCTTTCAGCTTCCCTTGAGCCCCCCTGTGCAAGGTGGGACAGGCAGCCCCAGCCACCAACTGGACCAGCAGTGCAGGGTGAGGGGGGTGCCAAACTCACGCCCAGGCCCCAGTCTCCATGCCTTCCTCCTCAGGCTGCATGATAAACAGGTGTCTTTTTTCATAAGGTGCCTCACATGGGGCCTGGCATGTGGGTAGAGCTCAATAGGTGGTACGTTCTTAAACCCCAGTGACACTGTGCAATGTCACTATGTGCCCTACAAGCTCACTGAGGGCCTGAGTTCAAATCCAGCCCAACCAGACCACACCTTTTTATCCTTCAGGCTAAGCCCTTCACAGAACCAGGAGAACCACCACCCTATAGCAAGCTCCAGGGTTTGCAGATGGACGGGCACTTTCCTGTGCAATGCACACAGTAACATGGAGGTGTAACTAGGGTCATGATATGCACGAGAAAACCGAGGCCCAGTGAGGTGAGCTGATTTGCCTGGATCAAGGGTGGAGAGCCCTGCCTGCCACCAAGGCTAGTACCCCTTCTACCAAATTTAACCTCTTCCAATAAGCAGCATTCCTGAAGGTTTATAGAGGCCTGACATCAGCACTGCCTCATGTGCCCCTGCAGCAAGCTAGGAAGTGGGTGGTAGCTTGGGACCCTATCCCGAGCAAGCTGCCTAGAAAGCCTGCTCTTATTCCCAGCGGGGCGGTGCCTGGAACTCCATACCCCCCCGCTGCCTTGGGGAGTCTGCTGGACGGGGCCTGGCCCACAGCCCTGCCTGTGGAAACAGAACTGCTCACTGTGGGCTTCCTGGAAGGTTCCTTGGCCAGTCACTCTTGCCTGGACACCACCATGAGTGTTTCGTTTCTTTCAGTGAGCACTGTTCTTTCCTCAGGTCCCTTTTTAAAATGTCAGTCACCCTGGCAGGTGAATATCATGTAGCCAGAGGACCCACACTTTAGGGAATCTGAGTCAGGGAAAACAGGTGTTAGGAGGGCCTGGGAACATGGGCCAGCAGCTACAACTGCTGAGGGAGAGAGAGACAGAACAGAGCTCACCAGAGCTGAGGGTGAGGATACAGAGGCCTTGAGAAAGCCCAGGGCAGAGTGCCCAGTGTGGCAGCTGGACATGCTGGTCATTCAGTTGGTCAATGAACAGCCATTGATTTGGCACCTCCATCATGTGCCAAACGCCACCAGGCACCGAGGGCACAAGACGCACAGCCTGTCAGGAGAAGCTCAGTCTAGAGCAGGACCATTATGCTCAGTGGGCTCGTGGAGGCAGCAGGGAGAAGAGGTGCCTCCCCCGTCTGGGAGGGGCACTGCAGTCAGGGAAGGCTTCTCAGCTGAGCAGATGCCTGGGTCTCTAAGAATGAAGAGAACCCAGCCAGGCAAGGGGAGAAGCAAACAGAGGTGCAGCGTGTGAAGGCCCACAGGGGCTTCTGAGCAATCAAAGTACTTTACTACAGCTGGCGAGGGGATGAGAGTTGAGGCTGGAGAGGAGCAGGGTGAGCCCGTGGAAGCTCTGCCTGGGCCACGTGACAGAGGAGGATGAACAGATCATGGGACAGGGAAGGCTTGTGGGGTGGGGTTCCATCGACAGGGTGCCGGGGGCTCTCTCTAAAGGCGGCCAGATTCTATGTTAACTCCCTGGATGGCCCGGAGCAAGCCCCCCAACTTCTCTGGGCCTCAGTTTGTCCATCTATAACACGAGAGGGCTGGGTCCATGCCCCCACAAAGTCTTCTCTGTTCTGTACTTTTAATTCACTTCTGGCCAGTGAGGGGCAAGAAGACTAGGGCTACCCAGGGAGGGGCAGGGCTGTGGCTCTCCAAGGACAGCCCACGGGGAGACAGATGCAGCCTGACGGCTGTGCTGTGAGAAGCACACACGGCCTCTGTGGCGCTGTGAGAGCAGAAGGGAAAGGCCTCAGCCGTGCAGGGGTCAGGGAAGCTTCCCAAGGAAATTCCCAGGCTGACCATGGACTTGAGCCAAGGGGTTCTCTGGGGGGATGGAGGGGGTGGGGGTGTTCCAGCCAGTACTTGGGTGGGTGGATGCTGTTTCCTTTTGTCATTCGGTCTGTGGTTCCCAAGCACCTGCTGTGTGCCAAACAGAACGCAAGGCCTCTGCCCTCCTGGCGCTCACATTTAGACCCATGAGACCTTGTCAGAGAGTGATGAGGGTCATGTGATTGGGGAAGGGTGATCTAGCAGTCAGAGAAGGCCCCTTGGAGAGGCTTGACTAGAAACAGACCAAAGGTAGATGTGGCTGGAGGGTGGCAGGGAGAGGAGTGGCATCGAGTGAGACTCGGGTAGGGTCTGGCCTACAGCAGGACTGCCCCAGAGCAATGTGACAAGCTTAGCTTCACTCAGTGAAGCCACTGGGGGATTTTTTTTTGGCAGAAGCATAATGGACAGAATGGTTTAAACGAGGTCTGCCGGCTGCTGCATAGCGCTGAACAGGAAGGGCGGAGATGGGTGTAGGGATCCCAGGGAAGCCGGCTGCTATAGTCAGCCAGGTGAGAGCTGTGAGTGGCCAAAGCCAGGTATGACTGTGGCGATAGCGAGAAGTGGAGGGACCTGGGATGTATCTTGGAAGAGAACTGACAAGACTTATGGGTGGATTAGGGGGCAGGAGGACAGGAAGAGCCCTGGATGCCCGGCCAGAAGAGTCCTTGGGGCCTGAGATTCGAACATCTTCCAACCTAGAGACTGCTGGACTCTGCCACTGCCCATGGGGCAGGGCTGATTTAAATGTGGTTTCTTCTCTAAGAAAGTGTGGGCAGTCTAGGACTTGGAGGCCAGCCCGGGGCCTGGCAGAGAGCTTCTGACATGCAGGAGTGCTGAGGACCTGCTGGCTCTAACCTGCCCCCTCGAGTGCCAGCTCGCCCATGTCTCCAGCCAGCTTCCTCACGCTCACAGCCTCCGAGTCTCCCTGGATGTCAGGGACTGCATTCCGACGGCCTGTCCGGTCACAGGAGATGAAGTCTGAGTAGGAGGACTCGACCTCCATCATGCCTGTCGCATCGCTCCTCAGGCCTGTGGGGACAGGAGGCAAGGGGGCAGAGGTAAGTCCAGATGCATTCTGCAGAGAGGACAGCTCCAGCTCCCCAGCACTGTGGCTTCTGTCAAAATGACAGTTATTGCCTCTTATTGAAAACAAAGCAAAAAGCACAGGAAAGTACAAAGAACAAAACAAGTCACCCATAATTCCATACCCAGACAACCACCATCAACATTTTAAAGAACATGGGCTCAGAATTTTCTTTAAATAAACTTATTGACAAACATGTACACATATTTATCAATACGACATGCCAGGCACTGGTTATATACTGCAGATACCGCCATGAACAAATTGGCCATGGTCCCTGGCCTCACAGAGCTTACCATCTACCACAGGTGGCATAAAGTCACCTCATGCCTAAGTCATAGCCTTGGTGCTCAGGGCTTCAAGGGAGAATGCAGGATGCTGGAGTGATCACTAGGACCTGATCAAGGCTGGGGGTCACCAAGTGACATTTTACCTGAGAACCGAGGATGACGAGGTGTCATGTAGATGAAGAGTGAGGGGAAGAGCATTACAGAGAGGGGAACAGCACGTGTGAAGGCTCTGAGGGAGGGGGAGGCATCGGGGCTTGGAAGGACAGAAAGAGCCAGTAGGCAGGAGTATGGCGGAAGAGGGACAATGACACTGAGGACACTGCTGAGGTAGGCAGGAGCCAGACCACATCTGGAACTTGGTTCCTGAAGAGCTTTAGGCCAGGTCATGAAGGAGCAGTCATGCATTTTCAAAGATGACTCTGGTGTCTGGGCAGAGCAGTGCCGGGAAGGGGCAAGTTAGGAGGCTCCTGCCAAGTTCAGGTGCCGAGATGGTGGGTGGAGGAGGGTGGCAGTGGGAAGGATTCTAGATGTAACTTGGAAATCAAACCAAGAAGTAGTGTTGGACTGAGAGGTAATTTGGGTTTCTGGTGTGAATAAGTAGGTGGACAGAAGTATGGTTTGCTGACATGTGGAAGAACAAAGGAGGAATATTTGGGGGCATGAAGTCCTATTTGGCGTATCTGGTAACTCTGAGATGCCTGTGAGCCCTCTAAGGGGAGAGGTGGTGTAAGTACATGGAACCAGGAAGCTGGAGCTCAGAAGAGAGGTGGAGTGGAGAGGAAAGATATGAAATTAGTAGTTCTTACTACACCGATAGCAGTTCACAGCCCTGGTGCTTGGTGACACAGTCTAGAGAGAGAAGAGAAGAGCGCCACATATATAAAGAAGAGCCACATACATTTAGAAATGATTTGGGACCATACCTTATGTTGTTATGTAGTCTACTCTTTGGGACGCTTGAGAACATGTCACTAAGGCTCCCTCCACATGAATTTTGTGCCAGCATACTTGCATGGGCAATGATTGACTCTAGGATGAGGCCTCCAGAAATGAACACAGAGGTACTTCCCAGTTTTCTACTGCCACACACAGCACTGGGCCTTTATGAAAGTCTCTGTGCCCATCCCTAATTATACTAGAGATATACTAGAGATATTCTAGAGATATACTGAGAGTATATCTCTAGAAGCAGAATTGCTGGGCTAAAGGGAAGGGTGAAATAATTTTTAGATTTTTGACACATTTCCCAGTTGCCTTCCCAAATGGCATAGTGGTATTTATAATGACAAAAAATTGGCAGAAAGACTTATAAAGTCAGCATTGTTTTTATTTATATTCCCACCGGTAGCACACAAGATTGTCCATTTATGTACTCTTGGCAACAAGAAGTACTGCTACTATATTAACAAAAGGTTAATTTGCGAAGGGGATACTAGTATCTCTCATTGAGCACCTATGGTTTTCTGAAGGCAATTAGATAGCAGTCATTGCATGGACTCTGGCTACCTCGCAGACCTGTATTAGTAAGTGGGAGGGGTGGTCTAAGCACTGGCCTGACTTTAGGAGTTCATAGTCCAGTGGGATGGGCCCACCTAGCAAACCCTAGTTCTAGACCCACTCAGGCAAATGCCCAATGTTTTCTATAGTGTGAGGATGTTTACTGCACCTGGTCAGTAATAGCAGCCTACAGGAAACCACCCAAATGTCCACCAGGAGGTTAGGCATTGCATGAATTATGAAGTATTTATTAAAAAGAAATGTGCCATACAGCCACTATGGAAAACGGTATGGAGGGTTCCTGAGAAAATTAAAAACAGTACCATATGACCGAACAATCCCACTACTAGGTATACATCCAAAGAACTGACATTAGTATATCAAGAAGACATCTGACCTCCTATGTTTACTGCAGCACTATTTATAACAGCCAAGATATGGAATCAACCCAAACGTCCAACATGATTGAATGGATACAGAAAATGTATATATACACAAAGGAATACTATTCAGCCATTAAAAAAAATGAAATCTTGTTATTTGGGACAACATGGATAAACCTGGAGGACATAATGTGAAGTGAAATAAGCCAGACACAGAGAGACAAATACTGCATGATTTTACGCATACGTGGAATCTAAAAAAACAAAAGTTGATATTGGCTGGGCGCGGTGGCTCACGCCTGTAATCCCAGCACTCTGGGAGGCCGAGGCAGGTGGATCACGAGGTCAGGATATCGAGACCATCCTGGGCTAACACAGTGAAACCCCCTCTCTACTAAAAATACAAAAAAAAAAAAAAAAAAAAATTAACTGGGCGTGGTGGCAGGCGCCTGTAGTCCCAGTGACTTCGGAGGCTGAGGCAGGAGAATGGCGAACCCGGGAGGCAGAACTTGCAGTGAGCCGAGATCGCGCCACTGCACTCTAGCCTGGACGACAGAGCAGAACTATCAAAAAAAAAAAAAAAGTTGATATCATAGGAGAGAATAGAACAATGATTAACCAGAGACTAGGGAGGGGAAAGGAGAGGAAAGGATGGAAAGCTGGTCAACGGGTACATAGTTACACTTAGATAGGAGCAGTAAGTTCCTATTCTGATGCACAGTAAGGTGATGGTTAACAATAAGGCATTCTACGCCGGGTGTCGTGGCTCATGCCTATAATCCCAGCACTTTGGTAGGCTGAGGCAGGTAGATTACCTGAGGTCAGGAGTTTGAGACTAGCCTGGCCAACATGGTGAAACCTCACCTCTACTAAAAATACAAAATTAGCCGGATGTGGTGGCACACGCCTGTAGTCCCCGTTACTCTGGAGGCTGAGACAGGAGAATCGCTTGAACCCATGAGGCAGAGATTGCCGTGAGCTGAGATCACACCACTGCACTCCACCCTGGGCAAGACAGAGCGAGACTCCGTCTCAAAAAAAAAAAAAAGGCATTCTATATTACAAAATAACTAGAGAGACTTTTGAATATTCTCATCAGAAATAAATAAATGCATGAGATGGTGGATATGCTAACTGCCCTGATTTGATTATTATACAACATATATGTATCAAAACATCAAGTTGTACCCCACAAATATATACAATGACATGTCAGTAAAATAATAATAATAATAATAAAGTAAGAAATGTGCCAGATGGGCCTGTACTGACATAGGACAACATCTGAGATAAACTGGCAACTGAAAAACAGAGGTTGCAAAACAACACGTAAAATAAAACCCAGTTCCTGTGGGGAAAGATAGCAGACATATGAAAAAAACATCTGAAAAAACATGTATCAACCCTGTCAACTGTGGTTGTGAGTAAGGGGAACTTTTGTTTTCTAAGTCTATATTTTTTCAATGGTTGAAGTTTTCATAAACCCAAATTATTGTGCAATGCTTTTCGAAGGTAGCTGACACTGGCAGAAGTGCCCAGAAGGCACCCAGGGTGGGACTGAGCCAGTAAGTGCTGCAGGGGTGCGAGTGCGTGTGTGTGTGTGTGTGTGTGTGTGTGTGTGTGTGTGTGTGTGTGTGTGTGTGTGTGAGAGAGAGAGAGAAAGAGAGAGAGGATCACTATGGAGGGCTGGGCCCACATCCCCCACAACACCTAGCTCAGAAGAAACACTTAGCTAAAGAATCAATTAGGGGCCCTCAAAGATCAGACAGGTGAGACAGGGAGGTGGGTGTTGTCCTATGGTAGAAAAAGCAAAGAATGAGACGCGTGACCTTAAACCCAAGCTTTGCCACCTAACCCTGGGCAAGATCCTGCCTTTCTTCGGGCCTTCATTTCCCCTGTGTAAAAGAGAGGAGGGCCAGGACACTGTCCACGGCAATTCCCCCCGGCTGCAGCAGATGGCGCGCCCTGCCTATCTTCCTAGCAGCCTTGCGCGCTGCCCTAGTCACGTTCTGGCTCCTCCTTGGCTAACAGAATTCCCGGAAGTTCCAGAGGTGGCTCCTTCTGCAGGTCACGAAGGTTCACTCCTGCCCTCTCCCTCGGGGGAAACCGCTCAGTGCTTAAGGACAGGGAAATGGCTTATGATAACAGTAACAACAGAGGATAAAAATGATGCCGAAAATTCCTACAATAACGAAAGGTACCATGGCCCAGGTGCCTGTGTTTTCACACACATCACGCACGCAGTGGCCACAGCTGCCCTCTTGAGGTGAGTGAGGCCGGTATAAGCCACAGCTCAGAAGGGCCTCATTCCCACCTGAAACCTGCTGCTCTGGAAAGGGACAAACCCCGAGCAGGCCACATTGGCTCCCGGAGCCTCCGAGTCCTGAGCCCTTCCTCAGGGAGAATGTCAGCTCCACGGGAACAGGAATTTGGTCTGGATTTTTCCCATGCCCAGCTGAAACCTAATCCTGGCAGCTGAGCCAACAGGCTCTGGCGGCTCCATTTCCTGATTCTCATCCAGCACCTGGTAAAGAGCAGGCGCTCCATGCACACTCGCTGGATTTCACTCTCTGAAGGAGAGGGAGTTTGTACCTATCCCTCTTCTCCCCCGCTGTCCCCCTCCTTTGTGGGGAGGAGCAGCAGTTCCTTCTTGGACTGTTGAGAAGGGCCTCCGTGCACCGTGAAGTGCTGTGCAGGTGTTCTCGTGCTAGGACCTGACACCATGGGATGGAGTTACAGGCTCCATCTGAAAGGCCAGCTTTGTGCTGGAACGTC